GCCATAATCGTTAAATGACAAATATTTAAATAGAAAACAGAAAAAAAAAGACCACGCTGTAAAACTAAGGGTATTTGAAAGTACAACCAAATACATACCTTTTTTTGTTAGGATCGATGAATGTCAAATAGTCTTTCATAAATTCTTGAAAAGTTTATGAAAGGCTATTTTTCACTGAGCGATCCTAAAAGCAAGCTACGTGTTTCGTTTCACTTTCAAATACCCTTTTCTATTTATTATTCTACCTTTTTTTGTAACAATACATCATTACTTATACCTATTTCCATATATGATACTCTATTCAAGAGCAAAATTTTAGTCTTCAACCTTTATCAAAAAGATAATTTTTATGTCTGGCCATACTTATGGCGTATATAGTATTCTTCTCATAAGCTGTACTTTTCGTGTGATATTGTATATATGGCAAGAGAAAAAAAACACAGTGAGGATGGCGTTGAAATCAACAGAAAGAACAAAATGCAACGAAAGGGAGAGTAACTCCTTTATTACTTCTTTTCTTTTATCTTGTGTTATATTACGAGGCTTCAAAGTCTATTTCACATGAGTCGAATCGTACACGTCGCTCGTCAAATAAACTTTGAATCGTAGTAGGAGGTCATCATTTTCAGATAGTCATACGAAGAAAAGATAATAAAACATTCTCTTACCTTCTTTTGATAAAGAAATAAATAGTCGAGTAGAGCCTGTGTGATACGTAACAGTGTATAGTGTGATAATAACGATGACAGAAGAAGTACCATATCAACCGATACAGTCTACGAATTCTGAATGTGAACCTGAAGAAATTCAACCTCATATTGAAAAATCAACTACAGAATCAACATCATTGCTGCCATCATCGCCAACCAACCAGAATCCGCGGGTGTTTGCTCCACTCAATACACCATTATATCGTCGTCGACAAACATTGACGATTCTCGTTTGGTGGCTCTTGCCATGGACTTGTCTCTACATATCATTGCTCTGTCTTCGTTCGAGTAATCCATATATATTTTACGGCGTTATAGCATATATAGTATGGATGGCTTTGTTTCGAAATTTTACGCGACGAGGTGGCCTTAGACAACAATGGCTTCGTCGACTCGCGTGGTGGAAATGGTTTGCTGGTATGTCGAGTGTTTTTTTTTTGGATTATTTTGATTATCAATCTCACAAATTGTTTCTACAATGATCTTTTCCTAAACAACGATCTTTCTCTTTCTGATCTGAAACAATAACATGTCGTCTTCTAAATATTTCAAAATTTCGATCCTAGTGAAAAGCTGTTGGTTCATCTGAAATGCTGTCAAATGATCAAAAACTGTGAACAGACATATTGTTCAGACAATTTCGAGACCTAAATTAGTAGAGTGAGAATAAGTGAGAAAATTTTCAATTGATATAGCTTCAATGGCAAATGCTGAATATCGATTATACATTGTATCACTGAACAATAAACAATTGTTCATAACTCCGTTATCCCATAGCAAAACTTCAAGCTTGGTTTTTTTCTATTTGATAGAGACACTCTCCAAGTTGTATTTCAAATGTTTACTTCAAAATGTGTTTGAATTTATTTATATCAAAAAGTTAATTAATAAATAGAAAAACTACGAGAAGATTGCCATATAACAGTGGTAGCTCTACAAAACTGAAAACTTTTGAAAATATGTAAAAAAAAAATTTTTATCAGACTGTTGCGATGGCTAGTATCCATAGGTGGTATTCATATGAAGAAATGAACTTTAAGTTAAACAAAACATTTGACTCTATAGAATTGCAGAGAATTTTGATTTCTGCAACATGAGATGCAGCACAATAACCATCACTATTATTATTAATAGTTGTCTAACAACGTAGAGTGTATATTATACTCATATTTTTTCTATACTAATATTTCGTAAGCAAAGATTTTGAATCGTATGACATAAACCTTGGAACATTTCGCTGTCAAACAAAAAGACCAACATTGAAGTTTGGCTAAGAAATGACGAAGGCGTGAAACATTTTTCTGTTCAATGATTGACAGGATAGTTAAGGTTTTTCAAACAGTCCTTCTGAGTAGCATTGAAAATTTCACGTAGAGAAGTGTTTGAACTTCAAGTTATTTGAGAATGAGAGATTTTCTGTTTTTTTTTTCATTAGAAAAATTTCATATTCTAACACTTACTGCAATGACAGGTGGTCCGGATTAAATAATCGACTTTTTTTTCATCGTTTTCTTATACAAGTAAAACTTGCTTAGGAAACTTCATTTGGATATAAAGTGACAGAGAATTTTGATCGAATGTTAGCCATTTGTCTATTTTTTTCAGTTAATGTGCACCGTTTTCACATAATATTACCAGTACTGAAGTCACAAAAATACTAGTTGCTCCGAAAAATGTTGGACCTTTTATTATTAAACTTATCATTCTAAGCTACAACCAAAAGAGTATTTTTCAAGGGGGAAAAGCGGATTCCGTCTATCCCGGATACCGTCAGGATACACAGGATACGATGAGGATACAGAGGATACGATCGGGATACAGAGGATACATCGGGCATACACATGATACAAGGAGGATACACAGGAAATAATCTGACATAATGAAGAAAATATAAAATATGCACGATCTATTCAATGAGAATACTGGCTACTCAATTCTAACAAATAAATGTTACCGATTACGAAGAGTTTGACATGTACTTCGTCACATATATTAGTAGAAGGAGTAGTGGCGGAGCCAGGATTTTGAGCTGGGGGGGCTCAGTCCCCTCTGAGGGACCTTTGAGCCCCGGTTAGCAAATAAAATGCATGGTTTAAAAATTTTCCTGGGAGGGGCTCACAAGTTTCTGGGGGGGGGGGGGGGGGGCTGGGGCCCCCCAGCCTATCCCTGGCTCCGCCACTAAGAAGGAGTTTCAGTCAATTTGGATTTATAAGGTGCCGCGTTCTGACCATCTGGATAGTTTTGACTATTACTATATGTCATTGCGGTTTACAGTACTTTTGATGTTGCGGCATGATTGCAAGCGTTTATTTAAAAATTTATACAACATTCTCTATTTTCTTTCACTAAAACGGAGGTGTTTGATCAAATTTAACGTTGTCAAATATTCATTTTAAATGATGGCGCGTTAATCTGAACTATCTGTTATTGGAATTCAAAATGATAATCATTCGATTCTGAAGAAGCTAGAAATATGCTACCGAATATTATCTTTATTCGTTTTTTTTTCTAGAGTATTTTCCAATTCGTCTACATAAAACTTGCGATTTGCCACCTGATCGTTCGTACATATTCGGTTGTCATCCACATGGTATCATTTCATTAGGTGCCTTTGGTAATTTTGCCACTGAAGCTACCGGTTTCGAACAAAAATTTCCTGGTATCAATCTTCGTTTGCTCACACTAAATTCAAATTTTCGGTTTCCATTTTATGATCTTTATTTATCGATGATGGGTCTATGCGATGCATCCAAAGAATCATGCAATTATATTCTAAAGCAAGGCAATGGTAATTCGTTGATGTTAATTTTGGGTGGCGCTAAAGAAGCATTGGATGCTCGACCATCCGATGAATACATTTTGACACTTAAAAATCGTAAAGGTTTCGTCAAAATCGGTCTAATCAATGGTGCAAGCCTTGTACCTGTATTTTCATTCGGGGAAAATGATCTATACGAACAAGTGTCTAATCCACGTGGTTCAAAAATTCGACATTTACAAAATTATTTACAAAAAAAAATGGGCTATTCATTACCTTTATTCAATGGACGTGGTGTGTTTCAATATGCAATTGGATTTTTACCTAATCGACGTCCAATCGATACGTATGTTGGTGCGCCGATTACTTTACCGAAATTAGAATCAGATAAAATAACACCTGATATTGTCGACCAATATCATAAGCAATACATGGACGCATTGACACAACTATTTGATACATACAAGGCAAATCATGGTCAAGCCAGTGCAAAAATCATATATGCCGATGACGATGAGAAATAGACGAAAAGAACAGAATCATTTATGTAGTAAAACGCACAAAACTATTGTGTAACAATAAACAAAAATAAAGAAAAGAAAATGTTCATTTTTGTTATTGTTTTTGCTACACAGAAAACCCTGAATTGATCGACAATAGTAGTTATCGATTGAACAGCATTACCTACTACGCGACAGTCTAGGTACAAAATGTTCTTTTATTTTTCGACTACTCAAATACATGTAGTGATAGGTGAAAATTGCCAGCTAGAATTAGAATTTTAGGCTCTTTCTGAATATGAGTTCAGAGTATTCTCTTGATTTAATTTTAGTTAACTGCGAGTAAATTCTTAAAAAGATCAAAAGTAAAGCTCCTACAGAACTATATTTTGATGATTGACTATGTTTTTCGTTCTGATTAACCCTTTCACAATAGACTCCTTTTTATAAATAAAACTGAAATTCTAGTGACATTATCAATTATTCTTTGAAAATGATTCACGTAGCATTTCTAAAAGTTTACAGCAATATTTGGATCACTCTAACTTCTAGACGCCACATTAAACTAGAACAAAAAAATTGAAATAAAAAAAATAAAAGATTTATATAGCTTATGCTATAGACGAATTTCATATGCGTAGTAATTCAACGGTATATGGGTTTCAGTATATGTGGGTGGTGTAGGTGTAGAAGAAAAGAAATGCCTATCTCTACATCTACCCATCCAGCTTGCATTCATTCTCCATACCCTAAATATCGAATAAAAATCTTTGAATCTAACCAAGTAACAATAATTGGTATTGATAAGCAATTTGATTTTCCAAAAAATATAAATGAAATGAATGCAAATAATTTTTCATCACTGTATCAACTCATTAACAAAAACTTATCAACACATTGCAAAAATTATAAATTTCATCAATTAATAGTTACTACTTCTTATGAAATGAAATTTCATCGAATTATTATTTAAGACCTAGAACCATATAAAACAAAATCATATAGTTTATATAAATTCACATACAACATTACGTAAATCTGAAATCATTTGCGTATATCTTTGAATATCAATTTTTGATAAACAAAACTGTGGTTTAAGCATTGGTGAAAAAGAATATATAAATAAATTTACAAAAGAGAATTCTTTTTTGTATTTGTTTGCTATTCATTCCCTAATGGTTGTGTCAAGACTACAGCTTTTGTTTTTATTCATAACTAAATATTATAAACAATAAGAAATAATCAGAGATAGAAATAGTCAAATCTTCTCTTCTATTTACTGTAAAAAGTTCATTAAGACAAAAGCGACTTTGATCGTTCTGCATCGAATGCAATTGTCTATCGGTCATTTTTTATCCTTGTTTTTCATGTACTAGATGAAAGGAAAGAGAGGACTCATAGCAAAAAATAAATCATCTATATTGACATTCTATATACATGTTGATAGGCTACAACCGAATAAGACATATTCTTCGTTTCGTCTGGACGTCACTGCTCTTTTCTTCTAGCAGGCCTCTAGCCAAATCATGACAAACACTTTATTAATCGAACTAGAAAATATTCGATTGACATAAACATATTAAATCAATTTTATGTTCCATACTATAACGATTTCTGCAATAATTTCCAACATAAACTTCTGGAGAATTCTTATGAATAATGATCATACTTGGAAAATACCGACAAACTGATGACTCAATACTATAAGAACAAGAAAGAAACCAATTTGTATTGTTTCTTCAATAAAAAAGCATTAACCATTCGTTCTCTTCGTTGTTTCAAGCAATGGCTGAAGTATCTGATTTAAGCGATTCTGATAAAACGATTTTGTATACATTTTATTTTGGAGCATCTGATAAACTTGTGCATCTCACCAAACAAGCACTTCGTTGTATTCCTTACTTATTTAATCTTGTCGCACATAAAGATGATTTTTCATCAGCTCAAAACGAAAACAGTGAATATGTATTGAATCATTCAATGCAATATGCGTGGTTGATGGCAACTTTTCACTCAATGCCTTTTGAACAACCGTGCACATTATTTAATGAACTACCAGAAGATGAGTATATTCAGGATGTACTGGAGTTATTTGATTGTCTTGGTATTGATTCATTTTCTCTACATCTTCTAAAAAACAAAACTTTACTACTATCAAATCCAATTGAAATTGATACGGATAAAAAAACACATCGGATATCAAAAGGCAACTATCTTAGAAGCATGGTAGACAGCTGCATAGTTCGTCATAGCTCTGAGTACACATAAATACGATTTAGATGATTTGGATACAAGAAATAATATTATTGTTTTGATCGAAATTCTTCTCTTCAAGTGCAGCTATTTTTAAATCACGATTTTGTCACCATGAGCTAATAGTAGCAAAAGAATGTTGTTATTCATTCTTTTCTCAACATCAAAAATGTCTACTGCTTTACTGCTCAACGAAATGCTAGATATCAAAAGATCCAGTCCTTCATGTATTTATACAATGACAGTAAACCCCTTCCTGATAATTTCTCGAATACGTTCGCTTGGAGAGGTGCTTATTTGTTAAAAGAAGATGAACGCACGAATCTTTTATCGATAAGCTCAAAAGACGCATACTTTTATGATTTATTTGAAAGAATCGATGGAACTCATAACCGGTCATCTATAACGAGCTTCTATGAGATTCACGTTTTTCAACTTTCCAGGATATATATTCTTCTAGCACAGTGGCCATATAGGTGACGAAATTTATGGCATATTCACTCTTATGAAAAGTAATCCATCGATGGACAGGAGCAAAATCGAAAGAGAAATGAAGTCTAAACAGCTCGATCAGGACGTTTCAATACATTACCAATTTGACCTAAAGACGACAAATTCAAACATTGCTTTGGTCCGAAAGATCAAAAATATCGATAAAAAGATCGTTTTCAAAGAAACATTTTATATTTTATTTAACTCAGATAATAGACAACAGAAACATTTTTAATAACATTTTGTGTACCGTTCATATTCTGGTATTGACGCGTGTGTCTATGGGTTTGAGTGCAGAGAATATGAATCCTGAAGGTGCACACTTACAGAGTTTTTCGGCCAAGATGGAATGAATGTGATGCAGATATTGAACCAGTACTAGTACAGTAAGTGCAAATACAAATACTTTTTACTTAACAATTGTACTTTGTAATTTTACTTGAGTACATTTAATTAAGTACAAATGTACTCAGTATCGGCACTGAGTACTAATATGCTCAAGTAACCTGTACTGTAGAACTAGTACTTACTATATTTGTACTTAGTACAATATAGCTAAGTAAAACGAGCTTAAAGGCAATATAAGTAACTAAAAATACATGTTGTGCTTTGTTTCGTATTTTCTTGTTATCAACATCAATCATTTTAGAAGTCTAAACGACATATTTAGTAGCAAAAAGATCAAAAAGCTTTTATCCATTCTACGATATTTTCATGTGTATTGATATTAAAACCGAGATAATATGCAAGTTTAAAACCTCAGGACGTAAATAATGGTGTTAGCTTTCTGTTCAATCACCGTCACCCACATACACAAATCTTCAACCCACCCGATCCCGTGACCATAAGTTTTTAAATTACAAATTAATTTGATTTTAATATCAATACACAGGAAAATATCATAGACTTGATAAAAACCTTTCATCTTTTTGCTACTACATATAGTATTAGGCTCCGAAAATGATTGATATTGATGAAAAAAATATGAGTCAAAGAAAAATATATACCTCTACTTTAGTGCTTTGTACTTAAGACCGTTGTTTTAGGTACATTGTACTAAGTACAAATGTACTGTAATACTGGTACTGAGTACATTTGTACTTAAATGCATGTACTTAATAAAAGTACAAAGTATAATTGTCAAGTAAAAAGTATATGTGCCAGTACAGTAAAAATGTACTGATACGTACGATTTTCACGTATTTACAAGGAAACATCCCGAGGTGTCAGAAACATTTTTAGGTGGAACTTAGCGTATCTTGTAGAGCTTAGTGAGATGTGTCTGCCATTAAAAAAGTACGTGCCCATGGTTTGTTTTTGAGGAGATTGAACGTTTCTAGTGTTACCATTATAAGAGTTATCTTATCAGAAAAATCACTATCTCAACTTGTGTAAGTTGAAACGAGCTGAGATTTTCTTCACATATAGTTGTATTAACGTGAAGGATAATATGAAAGTGTGAGCTCAAACGACCTTGAAAAGACGGCATTATCGACTTTAGAAAATGCTAACGTTGTTCTCAATATCATTAATTATTGTACTCCTCAGAATAATAGTTGAATAAGAAAGGGTACAATCATATACGATTTTTCTCTTCCTTACACACATGGTATAAATTCATTCCATTCAACTATATCGATTTAGCTCATTTGTTCTCATTCAACAGTATTCATGATTCTTACATAACTGAATCAGTTTATATTTAGCTTACAATTTAAGCATTGCTACAGATATTAGAATAGGAGAAAAAAAATATATATCATTGTGACATACAACAATTATGAAACATTCAGGATTGTATTTCGACATACGTACTCGATACTATAAGTTTCAATGATGTAACTTGTTACTCTGAGGAGTAGCATAATTAACGATATGAAGAATAACGTTAGCATTTTCTAAAGTCGATTATGCCATCTTTCCAAGGTCATTTGAGCTCATACTTTCATATCATCCTTCACGTGAATATAACTATATATTAAGAAACTTTCTTTTAATTGACATTTACACCCATTATGACGTCCAACGCGACAGTTCGGCACTACGCCATATCGCTGTGCACTATGATGTCCTGATCGGCACTACGATATCCAGTCACTAATTAAAAAAATCTAGACTTTTTATTTTAGGGATGAATGAGGTCACGGGCCGAAAGTACTGGAAGGATTTCAGTTCGGCCTGAAAAATCATTGGAATTTCGGGCCGGACCCAAATTCCGGCTCGAAAATTCCCTTGGCCAAAATGTATCTAGTGTGCAACGTGCTGTGGTCGTAAAGTGT